TTGCCATGGCAGCGCCGCGGCGTCCGGAACGGCGGCGGCGGGAAGCTGAGGGCGGCCATGGTGCGGAGTGAGTGTCGCCGAGACGCTTCCTTGCCCTCCCCCGGGCTCCCTCCCTCCTCTCCAGGACGTGCCCCGCTCTCTGGCCACCATGATCCCCCTCCCACACTTGCTCCCCTTCCCCGCCATCCCCTGGCAGCCCCTCTCCCTTCCTGCCTCCCTTGCGCTCCTCACCCGGCTGGAATATCTGGTTTCCCTTCTCCCTGGTAATAACAACCCGGTTTAATTCCACTAAGTGCAGCACAGGGGTGCACTTGCCTCTCGAAGCTGTGGGGTGACCCATGCGGGGGGCCCAGCTGGGTGGGGGGCAGCCCCCTGCAAGGGGAGATGCTTGGTGGGCTTATGTCTGGGCCTACACCTGCCAGGGCTGTCCTTGCACTGCAGTTACAAATTTTCAACTTCAAGTGATAATTTTTTTTTTTTTTTTAGCCAATGCAGACACTTTATCAGACATTAAAAAACTCTGAATGAGGTTAAAATACACCATACAATTATTTATGAATCCACAATCTTTTAGAGGTAAAGCAGTATGACCAAAAAGACTGAGTGCTCATTCATATCACTCAAGAAAAGAGCTTCTGAGGAATTCCCTTCATCTGTGATGTTCCTTGTAATCTATTTTGATTGTACACTGTCACTGGACTGCCAGTCTCTTGCTGGGCTAAAATAGTGCTTTGGAAAAGAGCTCCTTCTCTCTGCATGAAGCTGGCATATGTCCACTTTGAGCAGGAACTGCCTTAGGGAGAATGGCTTTATCTCCTGAACAGCGTGGTACAAATTTGAGTCTTAAAATAATGGTTGAACACTTCACCTTTCTGAAACACAGGTTCCCCCACTGTTTCTTGATATATCTGCAGCTGTCCACCTGCTTATTCTTTCAATTTGTTGAATGCTTTCTTTCGTATCTGATCCTATTCTGAGTAACACGTGTAATTGTTGGAAGCCTGGTTGTTAGATCCTCAAGATCTGTTTTCTCCACTTGATTGATGCCATCCCTTCTTTCCTCCAGTGTTCATGGGAACATGTGAGCCGCTATGATCTCTCACATCACTGGTCCATTCTCCTGTTACTGCGCACATCAGATATTGTGGTTAATTAAATTTTCAGTGAGAAGTAATATTGAAATATGTTTTGTCAGTGTCTTGGGAAAGCTTTTATTTAAAATTTGTTTTCTCTTGCAAGTTTGTTTTCCTCATCCCTCTTAAATGAACTAGATAGATGGCATACAAAATGTCAGATATTCACTGTTCCCTACAGCAGATCCCCAAAATAGGCCACTGTAACTTGTATTGTGAATGATTTTCTCTGCTTTGCAAACCATCTGGTACTGAAAGTGGTCATTTTTGCATAATCACTGCAACAATCACTTCAATTTTCTTTTCATTAGCAAAGGGAAATCTGGCTGTAATAAAACTGTCTCAGGAGTAGTTTGTATGACTTCATTTTGTTTAAAGGATATAAAGCATAATGCTTTCTCCAATGTGTATGTACACAGATCATGGAATATTGTTTTCTTGCTCAGAAATACCTGTTTGCCCTGGAATTACCAGCATTGAAAGATTTGCCACCAAACACATTAGTAGCCTTTTTTTTTTTTTTTAAATTTCCAGCAGATTTGCCAAGTAACTTCCTAGAAATGACAGTGCTTTTCATACTTTCTGTGAAGACTAAAATATTTAGTCATGATTATTGCCATTTTTTTCTCTTCTCTGTTAATTCAATCTTGTTTAATTAATGGGCTGTTGAAGGGATGATTGTTTAGATACAGCAAACTTTCCCACCATGATTAAAAAAGGAAAAGACACCTTTCCCAATATGTTTTATGTGCAGACAGCATCCCCTGTTACATCAATATCAGTATCATGATTATATAATTCTGTAAATCATGTCAGATGAAACTCTGTTGAACAGAAAGGAGAGTTAACTCTGGTCATCTGTAAATAATAAAATACCCGAAAAGCAGTTTCACCTCTTTCCTAAAGGCTGTAGATAGAGGAGCTGCACTGACACATGTGAGTTTGGGCTGTATGAGTACATAGTTTATGCAGACCAGCCTGTGTGAGTGTGTGCAGCCATTCCAGGACCACTAAAAAAACTGGATGATTGCACAAAACCCTGAGACAGAGAAGCAATGAAAGAATGCTTTTAATTAATGCATGGTAGGAACAATATGTTTTCACTTTTTAATTTTTACTTCTTTTTCTTCAGTCTTTTTGAAAGGCTTGCTAAGTCTTTTTTTGGCATTAACAATCATGAAAATACCTATGCTCATTTGATAGAACCCTATTTTTTTAATCAGCACTTCACTGTAGTTCACTGCTTGTGAAGGAGAGGAAAATGCTAGTGCGTTTTTGGTGCAGTGGACTGGAAGCAAAGTAATAACATCTAGCTCAAGAGTGAGCCCTAGTTCTCACAGAATTTCTTTACCTTCATTATGCAGAGCTTTTTCACTGTTTGAATGATTGCCTGGCATTAAATATTACTACATGATAAACTCTGAACCTGGATCTCTGGGTTTTTTGGCCACTGAAACTCCTTTGGTGGCTGCTAATGAGCTGGTAATGCCTAAGAAATACTCAGGATTAAATTTCATTCTAATATGAACATTTAAAAGCGTGAATTAGCTATGGCTTTGCCTCAAGAATGAAAAAAGTAAAAAATATCTGCCCACTTCCAACATTTATCCTGCTTATTTCTGTTTACACTGTGCTGGCAGAAGAATATGATGACACACTGTAGGTAGTTTACTTCCTTGCCCCCGCTATCTGTGATCTGAACACCTGGCATCAGAAAATAAAAAAAACAAACTCTGTTGCTTCTCTACATGAATCAATCTTCAACCTGAGCTATGCTGAAAATAGTGGATGCTGGATTAATTTCTGCAAGGGTTGTATCACACTCTTATGGAAGACTGCAGGTTTCACATGGATTTTTCTAAATGTTACAGGTGACGTGTGTGTTTCACAAATTATGTTTACTGTGGCAGAGTGGGCTGAAGTTACTTTGTACTTGATGTCTTTTCTAGCAGATTTTATTTTTGTAGATATCCTACCAGATATCTATTTGGTATGGTGAAACAAAAGATTCTAATGCTTTTATAAGTTGTTCATAAGTAAGATGGCAGAAAATGACTAAAGGGAAATATGGCATGTAATGTTTCTTTCAGTCACTGAAGATCTTGTTAGAAGACGTGCAGAACATAACAACTGTGAAATCTTTTCACTGGAAGAAATCTCTTTACATCAGCAAGAAATAGAAAAACTAGAATATCTTGACAAATGGTGTCGAGATTTAAAAATTCTCTATCTTCAGAATAATCTAATTCCAAAAATTGGTAAGTGTTTTCTGGACATGTATCTTTTTAAATGGATTTACATGCATAATTTTGAAATCAGAAAAAAAGTATCTGTTGTGTTGTACTTTAAGGGAATGTAGAGCCAGTAACTACAGAAAAGTTCTTTGTGGATCTCCTCCTACAAGAGTTACTTTTCTGTCTCTTTAGTAAATTTCTAAGAAGCTCATAAATTTTCAATATAAATTTTAAGTGAAAAAGATAGTACTGAGATGCAAGTCACTCAAATATGAGTGTGGAACACCTTTTATCGATTAAAATCTCAAAAATCAAGATATAACTTAAATATCCTGTCTTTCTGCCAGATAGAAAAAACAGTTTAGCATATACCATGGACTGTGATGTCATAGGACTAGTTCTCTTCAGGCTTATTTTTAAATTCAGTTTTTATACAAATGGTATTTTTTGTTTACATTGAAATATTTTTCATTCAGATAAAAATGCTTGATTTTCTGCATAAAGACAACTTCTTACAGTGAAGTCTCAATGGTCTTCCTGTGCCACAGGAGAAGATACCATTTCATATGGTCTGTGTTTTGTAGTACAAGTTCCCATGTTTGCTAGGCCCCCTACAGAAAGACATGACACCAGGCCTTGGGCTGGAAAAGCTTAGACTTTACAGATGGTGTGTAGATGAAGAATGGAGAGTCAGAAGTGCTCAGGAGTTATATTAGCATATTTCTTTTAAGTGCCTTAAGAGGAAGAAAAAAAGTCTAAATTTTTAGGGTGAAATAGGCAAAGGCTTTAAATTCTCTGGAGAGGCTCATCAGGAAACTATCTGTACTGATAACATCTGCATTTCTTAGAGTGTAGACATTTCAGAGAGAGTAAGATTTTTGAAACTGCTCTATGCTGCTTAGCCCCATCAAAAATGGGACTTAAATAAATTGTTTTCCTCTCTGTTACTGTGTCCTTGATAAGGCACAAGACTTCAACTCATTCTTTTTTCAACATTCGTACCTCCTATAGGTTACTATAGTGTATCATATTGCCATTTAGATTACTGCTTTTTGGACACAAGATTTTTTTCAGCAATCTTTCTGAGACATTCAATTTTTATGTTAACTTAATTTAACTGTAGGAGTTGGAAAAGTATGCAACTTCCTACTTGATATATTCTTGAATAATGTAACAGCTTTCCAAGGTAATGCCTTAGTAACAAATGGAGGGGGGGGGGGGGGGGGGGG